TGGTGGCTAGCTGATGGCTGACTGGTGCTTTTGTGAATTTGCAAATAAATGGAAATTCCGAAATTACTCCGCCAGCCTAAATGCATTGCATGGCGTTGTGCAAACTGTGTTGTGCAAACATGACAACTGTGTAATGTCGTTTCCACTCCAATTCCCAATGCAATTTTAACACTTATTTCACACAAAATATTCCAAATGCAAACGTACATACATCCAAATACATTTATTTACAAGAGATGCAACCCAACAAACCCTGGCGACGAAGCAGGCTAACCTTACGAGCCGCTAGCCCTGGTGGCTTGCGCTAATATAATCGTGTTGTAATTTTAATTATAATTAACCATAAAATTTTTAATCCAAATAGTAATAACTTCAAGAGGATATTGCTTTCCGATTATATTCTCCGCTGAAAAATCGACTAAATGAATTCCCAATTGATTCTCAAATATTGGTCTTCAAGCGAAAACGATTTCAAAATCATTCAGAATTGCGGTTTAATGCAAGTGTTTACTGGGTGATGACGAAAGCAGAAAAGTGACGAGGTGAAACGAAACGAAATGAAACGAAAATCTTAATAACACTTGCCTACTTTCAGGCGCCCGCTCGCTGCTCTGTTCTCCAAGTGAAATCAAATGAATGACTGCCTGGCCGCCTGTGTGTGAGTGGAAGTGTGTGCAGCTGCATATGTCAAGCGGCCTCTTCTACTGCCTACTGTAGACTGTCACTTCATTCAGTCGCTGGCAAGCAAATCAAGTAGAATTCTGCTGGAGCCGAAACCCACAGCCGTTGCATTGAGTGCCCTGTCTGTGTCGCAACGTGTCGGTATGCCAAAAACATCTCTGTTGCTAGTTCTATTCCACTTTCTCATTCACATTTTGCCATTTTTCTATTATCTGTGAAATTCTAAAAGAAACGGCACACACACGAGCACTGGTACTTGTAGCAGACCTTGGTATCCTTGTTTTTTGCTATTATATTGTTGTTGTTATTGTTGTTGCTGTTGCTGCTGCTGGTGAGTTTCCACTGCTGTTGCCGACGAATGCCATGTGGCTGCTAGCCAAAGGCGAACTGAAGCTCCACAACAAAGCCAAAAGCAAAAACAAAACAGAAACGAAGAATTGCGGTAAAAATGCTTGGAAAATAGCAAACCGCAAGCCTGAAAGAATATGCATAGAGTGCGAAACGTTTGCGCCAACAACAAAGCACAAAGCACAAAACACAAAACAAAAAAGCCAACGAAAAACAGACGACCAAACGAGTTAGCAACCTCATGCAAATGAATTCAGAAATAACCTTCAGCTATTATACTCGAAGCATCCGGTCGCATGCCAACGCCACCCAACCTTCATTGGTCCATGCAACGCCTGAAGGTGGCACACTCACGAACACACAAGCACACGCACGCGCACACACATACCAATGAACATGTATAAAGCAAAGCACAGTAGCTTTTCTCGCTTATCAACTGCGGCTGCTTCAGCTTCTGTCCGTAACTCCCGCATTTTCGTATTTCTTTATCCTGCGAGTCTTTCTCTTTCATTTGCCTTTTCTGTTGCTTTTTTCTGCAGCTGCTGGCTTGGTCTGCGCATCTCTGTTTCCGCTCGGTGATTTAAATTGTAGCTTCAATTTCTGTCTATCTGTCCGTCCGTCGCTTACTTTTCAAATGCACTCTTCTATCTCGATATGCCGGCACAAACGCCGCACCCGCCGCACACCTCGCCGGCCGCGACCGCGACCAAGCTGCATGCTTCGTTCCCTCGCTTGTGCATTTGCGCTTTGACACTGTTGCCACTTTGCACATTGCTTAATGGCTGCTGTTGTTGTTGCTGCAGCCGCCGCCTCCACAGTTGTTATCGTTATCCACGCCGGCGTCACACGTCTGCCATTTAAAAGAAAAGCAAACGATATTCAAATGCATGTTTCCGGGAGTTATGAGGTGGATGTCGGTGCACGGAGTGCGGTTGTTTGTGTGCATTAATGTGTGACGTTTGCAACAAAAGACGAATTAACGCGGTTCATGCTTCGTTGCACTCTGTTACCGCATCCTGTCGCAACACTGCTCAGTCCCCCACCGCAGAGAGCGAAATTACTCTGTGGACTTGCACTTGGGGTTGGCATGCTTTGGTGAGGCTGTAAGGAGAACTCCTAACAAGGCGCTGAAGCAAGTTGCAAGGAGCTGACTGCCAACGATTTAATTTACATACCCGGCCGCGTCATTCCAGATCGCCTTCCTGCTGCAAATTGTTGGTATTGTCATGCTCTCAAGTCGTTGGCCCGCCTGTTCGAGTGCCGCTGACAAGATAAGTGCAAATGTGCGACAGGTGCCAGAGGGTTTTTGCCGCACCGAAACAAATGTAGTTGAAGGCAGTGCTCATATACATACGTACATAGTACGTACATATGTATGTATATATGAGCGAACATAAGAAAAATGAAAATGTTTTGGAAAAAATTACAATCCGTTTTTCCAGCCAGCAAAAGAGTACGAAGAAATTGAGGAAGTGCTCCCTCAGGGATAAGAAATGGAGCGGTTACCGTTCAAGATTTCGTAGTAACGGTTGCCCAAGTAATCTCACCTTTTGAGTTGTGTTGTTGCAGCTACTGCAGCTGACTTGTTTCAAAGCTCATAGCTGTACAGGATCAAGCATTATAGTTTAGAAATTTGCTATTTAGAAGCTGTCTCTTCAATTTAAGAATTTTCAGTAAGGCTTATGGATAACATATCACTAACATGACAGGCATTTTATTGATCAAAAGCTCTTCCCAGATACATCAAGAAGTCAGTACTAGTACTAGCCGATATAGCTTCATGCAGCACCATAGACAAGATTCACTGAGCAGGACGGGGTACTGATCGGACTTAAGCGCCATTCCCCGAAAGTCTGTCATTACCTTCATGAATTCTCTTCGAGTGAGTGGTGCCTGGTGGAACCAAGCACCACCTATTGCAGACCCAGAGCTCGAGCCGCCTCGACAGAATTCGGGCCATAGTTAACGTCTGTATATTGTAGACATCTTAATTTCTATCTTTCGATACTTGACTCCGACATACCCAACCGTGTACTGCATACAATGAGACTCTGAGCTTGTCCCTTTAAAACAGCTCATCTAACCTCAGGTCGGAGCTCGATGACCGCAACTAGTCTCGCCTACTCCAAATCAGGGTTCGCGTACCAGTACAACAACAACAATATGTATGGCGGTTAATTAAACATTTTTGTTCATTGATAGCCTAACTTTTCTTTCCCCCACAAGCTCTATTAGTACATACTAGTGAGGAAATTACAATTTTAATTATCACCATATCAATCGGAGCTTTTTAATGAGCTCAAAAGAAGTTGACGGTCAACAGCAAAATCAACTAACGACTCGCCCAACAACTCGAGGATTACACGTACAAGAAGAGCAGGGGTAGAGGAGACAACTGAAATATGTTGCATGCAATAAAAATTTATTTTATGTGTTCAATCAGCTCACACTCACATCCAGACACCTTTCCAACCAATTCGCTTGTGGCAGAGTTCGTTAGTTCAGCAACAGAGCAACCTAAATTGCTGCCTGCACTCCGCCAACGCCGGAACGATCACCGCGAAGAGCAACTTTCTTCATCACAGACTCTTTAAGCACCAAGAGCTTGATACAATATTCGAAATGTTGATGAAAGCCAGAGAAGACCAGAAACCGAGAAAACAAAACAGACTGCAAGCAGCGCGAATTATACATAAATGTGTACGTACAAGCGAGCAGCTAGTGCAACAGCCAACAACAACATCCACGTTGGGGCAGAAATCAAATGAAGGGAAAGACGAAGCGAAGCGTGTCGAATGGATTTGTTGCAAGAGGCGTTACAGTCCTCTTAAAAATCGATTAACCCATTTCCGATAGCCACTGCATTGCGGCGCACATCTTTCCAGCCAGTGACAGGCAGCAGCAATAACAACTAAAACAATGCAGCACTAGTCATATGAACAAGTAAAACTCAGGAGCTGAGGAGCTGGGGGAGAAGCCAGAGGAGTGCTGAAGACTTTATTGACACGCTGTCTGAATGCGGATGGCTGCGGATGGATGCAAGTGGCTGATTATGCGCTGCCCAGCAGCGCATCTGTGTTGTGTATCCTTAACTGCACGTCTCTCCTCTGTTATTTGCTGCGAACATCATTATTATGCCGTTATTGTTGTTGCCAATGCAGCACATTTGCATGCGGCATTTTTCCAACATCATTTACTGTAGTTCATATTCGTTTTTGTTGTTGCCACACCGTGAACTAGGCCGCACTGTTCCGTTATTGCTTACTCTCTCTATAGTCCCCTTTTCTGAAAATGAGCAAAAAAAGGTAGCCAACACTTCATTGCGATGTCCTGGCAAAGCTTAACGCTCTGTTTCATAATTCTGACGCGCGTCGTAATCAGCCAGCCACGGCGCTTGTTTGATGGTGTTGGGTGTCGCATATTGGGGAGAGGCGGACTCGGTTGAACAGCAGATCCAACCAACCGAGAGGATGCAACGTGGCTAGAATTGACCCGAATTCGTTGTCAATTATAGTCAAAATTGATGGCCGACACCCACTCGTTGGCAGCTGAAACGTGGGACGTGCGCTTACGTAAAATATATTGATTTTGCTGTGGTGTCCGTGTGGCAGGCAGGCAAGCAGGGCGTATGTAATTAGGTGAATTAGTGAAAAGTGTTGCAAGGACTCAATCAATGAGATAACGAGCGAAATGCGGTTGCATGGCTGATGGATTTGCGGTTAGCTGCATGTCGGAGCCAAATTCGCTTAATTAGCTCATGTTATGGAAAACTAAACTCGCTTCCATGGTGCCTTCGAAAACCGCATTTGATTTGATTCATAATGGAGCTTCAATATTTATATATTTTTTTAGTAGCGGAAGTGGTGAGATAATCACAAATTAATACCCATTTATTTTACTTTATTTCCTTTTCTTTTAATTTATAATTTTTTCAATTTTATTTGATTTTACTTAATTTGAGTTTCTTTCTTTTTTCCAAGAATCCAATCAGATATAAATATAACATCATGCACATAAAACAGCTGCGAGCATGCTTCAAACGTATTTATGATTAGGTCATTCAAGAGAAGAAGAAGAAGAGAGCGAACAGCGTTAGGTAATTGCGAAATTTGATAGGCAATCAAAGTAATGACGTTCGTTGTGTAAATAGGCAAATAAGAAAAGCAAGCCGAGTGCTAAGCTCCAAATTATAGCTTACATATAAATTAGCTGAAAGCTTCGTCCTAAAGGGCGGCACGTGCAATGGCGTTAGGCTAAGAAGGCGCGGCCGAATCCTTTGCTAGTTGAGGCATAGCTCACAATTTAACGATGAATCTGGCATTGCGGCGTCAAGAGAAAGGCGAACATCAACGTGACTGTCGTCCTGCCAATGAATGTACAACAGCAGCGAGGTTATCAAAAGGCAACCGGCTGGTGCCCTAAGAAAACCTTCGGAAGGGGCAGTGATGTTGGGAGCTTTCATGTAAATAGAGGAGATTTATACATAATTATTATTAGACCAATAAATATAGCAAACAAATAGACAACAGCGGCAGCAACAAAAGCGGCAAAAGCAACAACCAAATGGCGAGTAACAAATTGCAGTTGAATACAAAACTTGGCCTATTAAGTTTCGTAATTTATCCCTATTTCAGCAAATAAGAGAAGAACGAGTGAAGCAGGAAAGCAGTGCAGGATATGAGAGGAAAATATTCAAGAATGGTGCGTCCACAAAGCTCTTCATTTGTTTCATGTTTAAATGAGAAAGGAACGAAAGTTGAGTTGAGCTTGGAGTCTCATCTTAGGGCTTTTGTTGCATGCATTTGTGTGTACATTCAGGTTCGAAGAAGCTGAAAGTTTTCTCAAAAACTTACTAACTTAACTTTTTTAATGTCACAAAATATTTAATACCAAGCCGGTGACGCTACCCAGCAAACACAAAACCGCATACTTTGCAATGACCATTGAGATGCCCAGACTTCTCGTGAGTTGGTCTTCAAAACTGGTTAGCATTTCAGTCACTCTTATTCCGTGAGCATATTGCTCAGAATATTTGATAAATTGTTTGGCTTATTTCATAGTCTACAAATATCATTGCTTTAAATCATTAAATCATTGACTTAACAAATTGAACTTGAAATCTTTATGACGTATTTTGGCGAGAAATCGTTTGTGCACCAGACTTTGCCTTGGTGAATCGCGACATATTATTGATGTTAAATTCGTCTCGAAATGGTTTGCTGGAGGAACCTGTCGTGCACTCGAAGGGCTTTAGAAATACGGCTGTTCCGCTGACCGCACACGTACATACACATATTGATCTTTATACTAGTAGATATGTACCTAAAAAGAGGCAGTCAACTGTAACTATTCCAAACTGTTTGCCGTTGCAAGCGAGATTTGTCCTAAACACCAGATTAAATGGCATACAAATATTCATACATACTCGTATGTACACACACACATATTTATTCTTTACCATTTTCTCTTTTCGGTATTTCAATGCGTTTGCTACAACAACAATCGGCATATAAAAATTACTACGAATAATTTTTCATCGAGGCGCGAGCTACCAATTTCAGCCACCACCCCATCGGAATCTACCTTTGTGTACACACAAATATATGCGCATACATCTGCTCTATATCACACCTTCCATCATTCACTTCGTTGGGTTTTGTCGCCAAGCGCAAGCCCCAAGCCACGGACCACCTGCCGGCGCCTCATTTCAACTAATTACGGTGTTTATGCTGTCGTTGTGGTCGTGCGCACATCAACCGCATTTTCATGACACATAAAACAGTGTCGAAAACAACAACAGCAACAACAAACATAGCCATAACAATAACATAACGGCATAACAACAATCAGCAACCAGGCAAAGTAACTGCGAATGTCAAACGAGAACAATTCAAGACGCGCCACATGGCGGCAACCCTTTCACAACTGCTTATAATGTTGCATACTTTTGGGTGACTGCTCTTCGAGTTCAGGCACGCCCCCTGCGGCTCCAGCTGCGGAATTCAGCTGTTTGAACATAAACGGAACTTGCCACTTGCCACATTCCGCACGCACTCGCCGACCCTCAGCCGCTGTTTGTGTGTAAAACACTATCCAAGACGTTTGCCATCGGTGAAGAAGAAAGATAAGGACTGAGTCCACATCACACTCATGCAACATCCTTGGCAACGCAACGTGGCGGGCAGGTGTTCATACTTTAAAGGGAAACTTTTTCAGAAGCGTTTGCGTAAAAGTTATTTGGATAATGGCTTGGCACTTTGGGAAAACAGTGAGCCTGCGAGTAACTGGCAAACAGGGCCTCAGAAAGCGGATAAGCAACTGAAATGTGTTGCAGAGTCTGTTGTGCGGCGCGTAAGACCAACAATGCAAAGAAGTTGCGGGGAGAAGACCCAAAAGTTGTGCGTAGATTTCCAAAGAATTATGTGGGTAATGTGATTTATGATGAAGTAATTTTATTAGTGCAGGACCTCTGCTTGCAGGACCGGACGAAGTTGCGCCAAATAGCAGGCAAACAACAGCAATAAAACAATAAACGTTTTCGGGCGAAGAGTAGTGAAAGTAAAATTAAAAGTAAGCATTTTCAAAGAACAAAAAAGCTCAGACGCCAAGCTCACTCTAGCTGGTTGCGGGGTTGTGGGACAGGAGAGACACATTGAAAAATGCGAATAATCAGATTTAAGACAAAGTATTTAAAGGTCCATAAATACAATTACGAACTTATGAATAGCGAAAATGTTGTTTAATACAATAAATTTTGAGTTTTCTAAACTCACTGCGAATAACATGAGCCCCACAAAATGCACAGGCCCAACATTGTACTGAGCAGAAGTCGATCCAGCTTTGGTCAATAGTTTGTGCTTTAATGAGCGTTTAAAACTGCATCCATGAATGTGGGCCAGAATTCTCACACATTCTCAAGTTTTGCGGGAAGCAATTTGCTTTAAAGAGGGGACGGAAGCTACAAAGTTAACACCGACTTCGATGTCCAAACCTTGAGTGATGTAAACTAACATTGAGACTGAGACTGAGACTGAGACTGGCAGTGATTTAAATCTGGCCACTTAGCAAGCACTACACATGCGCTGCACTAAAGCGTCGAAGACCCCTCTGCAGATAGACTGATGTAAATGGAAACCTATTTGCCCAACTGCTCATACACAAGTTTCCGCTCTCAGAAGGGTCTTTCTCGTCATTTTCATGTCTTTAGAAAATTAAACACTCTGATTCTGCCATGCACCCACAAAAGCCAGCGCACGTATGCACACATCTAAAGCCAATGAAGAATGTGCAAAGTATTCGTGAGGGTCCGTCAAGACAGCAACGTAGCAAGTGATGGTGCGTCAGTGAGGGGGAGGGAAAGCGAGAATGAGATTTTGGCCGAAAAATGTTTCACCCAATTTCTGCAACGCATGTTACTCTATACCACACCAAGCCACGCAACCGACAACAACAACTACAAAAAGACCTTCATCAGCAAAAGCACTTTAGGAAAATTTATGCTTTGCACTCATACGCATTCTCTTGCCCTGCTGTCACTTGTCGTTTCGTCCCCTCGCCGAGCTTTTACCAAAATTACGCACTGCCAATTTGAGTGCCAAAAGCAGCCCATCCAGTGTGGATATACGCAGCGCAACTTGGGAAAGTGAATGAGAAAATCTGAATTCGGAGCTGCATCGGTCTACACTCAACAGCTTTCCATTCCTCCTCCCTTCATACGTTCATTATTTGGAGTTTGGCATTGAATTTATTATCTACCACCATATTTACTGTTACCAAACCGCTACAACAATTTATCTGTGGCACATTGAAAGCTTTTCCAGTGCAGTGATTCACAACTTGCAACCGCGTCGTAAATGAAGAAGAAAAATTCCACTTCCCCCTTTTGTTTCACTCACACGCAATGAAGAAGAGAGGAGGGTACGAGAAGACTGAAAGAAAAATGGAAGAGAACAATGAATTGTGTAAAACATGGTAAGAATTGACGGTGCTTAGACTGGCAACCGAAATGGCGAAATACTTGAATTGGACCCAGGGGGCAGGCAAAGAAGTGAGTCAGTAGGTGTAAACCTCCAAAGAACAGTCGCTAAAGTTGTAAAGACATGCCAGCGCTTGAGGTGTGAATCATCTGATCATCTAATCAAGACAGAGCAAGTTCAAGAATCAGAGCTTATGTTCAAATGAAAGAGGAATTACTCTCTTTTCTGTTAATTTGCGATAGCGGCGTTTCTGCGGCAAAAGTTGTGGCTCGGGATAAGATTCAGACATTTCTTTGAGTCTAAAGCATAGCCAATAGAGAGCTGGATTCTATGCGGTTGTCCATCATAGCCAGAGCTGCTTCATTTTCGTTTAAATTATGAAGAACGACAGAGATTTAGGGTCGTCAAAATGAGATTAGAAACTATGAGTTGAACTCGAGAAAACTTCAAGTGGAAAGGAGTTATTATTATTTCGGATTGTTATTTAGTGATATTGGCTTGGGTTACACAGCTCTCTCTTTCGATTCTATTTTGTGTACTCAAGTAATTACATAAGTGCGAATATCTTCCGTGCGCCCCACTGCGCATTTCTCATCTAATATTCAAGTTAATGAGTTCTTTATATTAGAAAAACACTCGCGGCCAATGTGAATGAGCAGCACCCAGCGAATACAAAAGTTGACGACGACCCACCCGCCACCATTGTGAAAGTAACAAAAGAACTCTTTGTTTGGCAGCTCACTATTTTCTTATGGCAAACACCTGAAGGGGCAGAAAGGACACACAAGCAACCAAGTAGCGGCACTTCGCCGGCGGGTGGAGGGGCGTAACAGCCAGAGCCAGAGCCAGAGCAGTCAGAAATCCGACGTTGGGGAAGAAGTTCTTTTTTATCATTTTGAATACATCAACTATTAATTCAGAACATATAACGGTATACAAGATGGCAGTGTTGGCAAATATTCTTTTTGCACATTGGGCGCACAGACAGACACACACACACACAAATACACACACCAGCAGTTAGATGAAGAGAACCTCGACAGTTTGCTTTGTACAAACACGGCGCATGTGATGGTGTGGGTGTGGGTGTGAGTGTGACAACAATAACAACTACAACTACAACAACAACAACAACAACAACAACAATGATAAAGTAGCAATGGCACCTCATATGAAGTGTTTACATTACATTAGCCTAAAACGATGTCAGTTTGTATAGCCTGCCAATACATACAAACGTTTGTATTTCTCAGCAAATTGACTCTTTATTTTGTACTTACGCTTGCACACTCATGCCGGCCTACTTACATACTTACTCGAGCATATATTATACATACCAATGCAAGCCGAAGAACACCATTTAGCTCAGGTAGAAGATGTGATGGCAGCTGACAGCGCGTATGGCTATGTGTGAGTGTACGTCCGAATATCTGTTTGTCTGTCTATCTCGGCGAGTATCTGCGTGTTTGCTAATGTCATTAAATCCCCTTTCGCTTAATTAATGTAACAAAAGCTTGGGGAAAAAGGTTCAACAATGGCTGTCATTACGCTCGGCTCGTTATCCAGCAACAACAGCAATAGCAACCATACCGCAACATAACGTCGCAGCGCATTATCCAAGGATATTAAGGCAAATCTGTGTTGGGCTAATGACTTGTGTACCAAATCCACACACACACATACGCACACACACACACACACACACATACGCACACACACACACACACACACACACTTCAATATGAAAGCGTACATGCGTATAACGGGGTGTGAGTGTGTGTGTTCGATAAGCTTTAATTCTGCTGATAAATGGCTGAAATATTCAATTTGCTTTAATAGCCGGCGCTAAGCTCAGCTGATGGACACTGGAAGGATATAAATTGCTGAGCAAATTTGCGCTTAAAAGCTATGTAAACATGCCCGTATATGCAAATGTGCATATGTGTGGATGTGTAGGTGTATACTCGTATGTGAAAGAAATTATAGTTCACATTAATGTTGTGTACGGATGTGTTTGACTTCAGCTTAAGCATTTTTCTCAACAATTTTCCTTCGACACACACACTCACGCACACATATATTCCTACACATTTGAGCTCAGCACCTTTTTTCGTTTATTCATCTTTCAGTGAATAACTTTTAATTACTTCCATACAAATACAGAGACATTTTCACACACAAATGAAATTCTAGTGCACTAGAAAGTTTTAGACGAAACTCACCTGCAAAGTAGGTCAACATGGCGCTTAGGACGACTGTAACTAGTATTAAGGCGATACTCAAACACTTCCAGGAACATCGGTGCTGACAGCGCTTATCTATGTGAAACCTGCAATGGAGTGAAAGCAAAGAAAAAAACATAAGTGAGCAATGAGCAACAACAAAATTATACAAATACATACGTTGTTAGAGCACAAACAAATAGAAATATATGAATTTACGGTACATTAAGCCAAGTGGCAAGAGTTTTGCTAGTGTACATGTGGCAAGTCAGCTAAAAGTGATCGGAAGGAGAGCGAAGAATGGCTAAAAGCAAATTAAAAATAAACAAAATTCTAAATTGCAATCACATACACACATACAGTGCGGAGAAAAAGTGAATGCTTTGTGAAACGTCCCGAAGTTAAATAATCCTGGTTAATCCATAGCTCTGCTCGGGAAAACCTTGCATGATTCAATAATATTCAGCTCGAGGTATAACAATAGCGAAGGTTCAAAGATTGAGAATACCACTTAAAAGCGTAAAATGGCCGACGCAGTGAATTCGTTTCGATTCGAGCTTTAAAATTCAATAACCAAAATTGGTGGACGTGATCCATCGACCTCCACCAAAAACTCCGCGCTTCCCTACTTGATTCCAATTAAGTTTTTCCAGTGCAAGACAAAAATTTTCCTCGAAATCATCTCTGGCTGGAAAAGCTTTTGATATATTTTGAATTAATGAGAGTCTGTTGACTTTTGCTCGCTACTGTATACACACCGACATATTTACATGCGACCCATACCATGCCATACCAAGTATGTATATGAAAAAAATTGTTCTGGCGATCTGAAGCGCAAGGACTTTGTCGGCAGCTGCACATAGAACTTAACGGCATCTCGTGGTGATTATCTTAATTGTGTTTATGTGTAGTTTAAGTTTAAGTTGCGGCTGTAGTGGTGATTAAAAGTAATGCGCCATGTGTAGAGCGTGAGTGTTGCCCGCTCTCAGCTCTTCCGTTTGTGTGTTTGCTTTACCAAAGGCACTGAAAGGCTCTCTACAGCTCCTTATTTTTAATTATTATTTAACAACATAAAATGTTTAAATGTCTACCCACCAACGGAGTGAGGCTTTTCAGTTGGAATTTCACAATTGAAATGAAGGAAAATATGAATCGAAGCAGGACTTCATTAAATTTGTGCAACATTTATTGAAAACGGTTATTTTTATAGTCTCTTACAGTTTTTAGTTCAAGCCGAGCTCGACGAGTTTTCAGAAAACTCTCGCACAGACCAGAGTATTTGGCTCTAGTGTCCAATGGCTTTCATCGATTACTCTGCTCAATGCATCAGTGCGTGCCAGCTGTTGACGCGCCAGCAAATACAGTCATAAATAGCAATAATTGTCGCGGATAATGACGTGCGTGCTTCCACATATATTAGCGGTCTGAGCGGTCTGTGGGAGCAGCTAGTGGGTCACTTCTGAGCCAGCTTTCTCGGGCACAGTCACTCTTTGCTGTTGCCACATATTCATCACTTTGCATTTGACAATTTATTCATTTTAAACAATATTGTTGTTGTTGTTGTATTTGTGTTTATGTTTTTCGCGTGGCAAAGCGAAGTTTTAAGCATACCGGCGGAAGAATTTGAGCTGCCGTTCGAAGAATGAAGGTAGACAAGTAATATGGTTATTGGTGGCAAGCACTTGACACTACTTACGACAACGCAAGGTGTGTCTGTATGTGCCACCAATTACTGTTTAAGCTATCGACTCTGCACCATTCAGCAGTGGACAGTGCGCGTTGGGCAATTATGCAGCGAAGCGTTTTGGCCCGGAGCATTTGTCATGGTGCTGATGCATGCCACAAAATAACTTATTTGCCTACAGCGATGATAAATTCGACTATTAGCTGCAACGGCAGCGGCAATTTGTGTCAACTGCTGTTGCCGTTGATGCCACTCGCTTCCGCTACTAGCCGATGTCAAAGCAAATACTAATTTGCATTTGAAAATTGTGAAAGAATAGAAGAAATGGAGGGGAAGAGAAATTTAAGTGCAAACTGACAAGACTTTTAACCGTTGTGTATGTACAGAGCTAGAACAACAACACCAACAGCAACAAGAACAATTTGTATGCCTCCAGCAAGAAGCCCAGCTCAAAAGTGCAGTCAACTGATATGTGCTGAACGGTGTCTGGTGAAGGTGAGCGAGGGTAGTGGTGGTGCAAGTCATGGATGAGGCACTTAAAACTGTCTACAAATAATGACCAATTTCCCGTTGTGTCAACAGCGACTCGGCAAACCGGCTTGGTGGCAGCATCAGTAAACAGCATTCGTGCAACATTCAGTGGCAAATAATGAAGAAATTTCAATGCAGCGTGAATTTATGCCACCGAGCACATTATGAGCGACACTGCGACGGTGTGGCATTCAAATGAGTGTAAAGTGCAACATAGAAGGTGCCAAGTGCTACAAGAAAGATGCGGCACGAAGATATTACCTCACATTAATGTGTTGACAGTGTAAAATTTTCTTGTCGCGCACATACATTTTCTCCCGCAGCCGCTCCTTCGCTCCCTGCCCGCCCTAGTGTTGCTAGCTTGCGCGGCTCCAGCTTTCTTGGCAGAGCGCCTGCCACAAGCCATTGCCGGTGCACGTACTCCACGGCTAAAAGGTTGCAAATATGACATGAAACATTTGCGAAATTGTTGAAAACTGCAAAGAGGTTATATGCCACAAACCCACACACACACACACATACGCATGCACACTCACATTCACCCACCCATAATATAATGACATGCAACACTGTTTGGCGACAAACTACACAAAGTAAATAGACAAAATGATGGAGTGCGAACGTGCAACGTGATTGAGTGAGTTAGCGAGTGCGGGTGCGATGTGGCACGGTTGTAGGCTGCGTACTGCAAAAGAAGAAGCGTACAAGGTAAAGTGAAGGTGTTTGAAAAGTGGTTGTCTGTCGCCTTCGATGTTTGTTGAGGTGTTGGATGTTGCAAGGTGGCGCGGTGAGTTGCACTTAATTGACGGTGGGTGGCAACAACGGTGGAAATTAATGTGGCGACTTTAACGGCGGCATGGCACTTCAGCTTACAATTGAATGAAGCGTTCGGTTTTAAGGCCTTGGCTGCGTTCAAATAGTGGAAAGCTATGGGTTGCCATAACTGACAGGCAATTAAATTTTCTGGTAATGATGTTACAAGCGTATAACGGGAAATTTGTGGTGCAGAATCATTATGGTGAAAACAACAGAATTCTAGCCGAGAACCGAATTCTTTTTAGAATATAGAGTTCGATTTTCTAAATCTTAATAATATTCTTCGCCATGCCTTCAAAAAGTGTTTATTATTTAGCAACACATCATACTCAGCATGCTTATCAACATTTTACAAAAACAAAACCAAAAAGCATACATACATACTCTGTGTCTTCAAAACTGGAAAAAAAAATTGTAAAAATTGTGTTGAGCATCTTTTCATTCGAAAAAGCTCCGCACAGCAATGTTCCATATTTCGCAGCTTTTAAGCTTCAGCAAAATTTACAAAAGCTTTTAAAGCTTAAAATGTTTAACTTCAGAAACAAAACAGGCAGGCAGACGACACTGAATTTCAACCACCATTCGCAGTTCGAAAAGTGGTTTCTTTGGCTTAATAGGAATAGAAATAATTTTTACTTCCTGAAATTCTATACAAGGTCGCCATCCTTTAGGGCTTACCAAATATTTTATTTATTAAGTTTTCTAAAATAAAGTGTTTTATCGGCATTTTATGCCCTCTTACGCTTAGAAATGTTTCGTCTCTGTAAACAGTTTTAATTCGCCTCACATCTTCCAAGAATTTACTAGGCAAGCATCAAAATATGTTAAATCTGTCTTAAGCCCATTCCTTCCCGCTTGGAAAGACAGTTGAATATTTAATAGCGGACTTTTTTCTCTCGACTCTTGCCAAAAGCCTTGACATTTACGCACCTTAGATTACCTACTTTGCACGCCCGTAAGCCCTTCTTAGTTGTGTCGTAAAATGCCTCTCTCCGCTTGCTTCAGGCGCTTGCAGCCATAAATGGGAATGGAAGTTGTCGTCTTTGTGCGTCACCAATGAGTCATTCACTCGCTCGCTCGCTCGTTCATTGCACTTTATGTATTCAATTTAATGTTCATCGTTCCAGCATTCGCTACTCTTCCTTTTAGTTTTGGTTTGATTTTGTTGTTATTATTGATGCTGTTGGCGTTGGCATTGCTTTTGCTTTTCATTTGCAGCCGTCATATTCGCCAAACTAAACCCGGCGTACAAGTATTTTTACAGCGTTTTAAGCTCTAATTCCACATAAGCACCGACTTAAGCTGCCGATTTCCAGCACTCCATGTGCCGTACGGAAGATGCAATTGCATCTACACGCAAGAGGAGAGTGAACGCGCGTGTGTATGTGCGTGAAGGTATGCCCTATGTCTCCTCACTAACTGTTGTGTGCCAAGCGAACGCAAACTAATCCCGCTTACACCTTAAATCTGGCAATTCCTGTTGGAGACATTGTTTGTGCTGCTTGTCTGCTTGTCGGTGGCATGAACAGGAGCTGGCGAAAGCAGTTGCACTTGCAACAATTTATGCTCAACCGATATATTGTATATATAAAGCCATTCGACGTATAAAACATATGCGTGTGTGTATGTGATTGCGCGCGGCATGTGGTGCCAACTACATGGAAACAGTGTGGCACGAACAGGTAAACCAGTAGCCGAGCTTGAAATGCGTGTGTGTAGGTGTGGTGGAGGAAGAAGAAGAAGATTTGCTTTTGGTGTCTGTGCTGCAACTCAAAAGCTCAGTTAAAAAGATAAGCAGCTGGGTGAAGTGGCAGCTGCAGTTGCAGTCTGTGACATGGGCGTGGGCGGGCAGATGGAGAAAAATGTCAATTGTAGACCGTAAGCCGAGATCGTTAGTAATGCCATCCATTTGGCTAAGCCATGGCAATAAGCATAATCAACATAAAAATATATTAAAGAGATACGTGCCACAAACTGTGGCACTACTCCTCATACCTCACAGCAATGTTCCAACAACATCAACAAGCCAATAGTGGCAATCACAGTGCATGAACGCATGAAATGCAACACACACATCTTGTTGCCTCAATCCTCGTACAACTCCGCTACATTGGCAATATTAAAGCAGGGCCACGACAGTTATAAATCGTTGTGTGGCAGCTCAACTAAGGGTGTGCCCATTCGCCAACCGCTAACAGTGCCCCCGGTGCATCGACCAACCGCTGGATGCCTGTGAGGTACAGCTCCTTGCGAGCAAACTTTAATGTGCGTTCGTGCCACATTTGTTGCATTTATCAGTGGCATGCAAATGCAACGAGGTGTGAACTCAGTGTGAAGCATAAGAAGGAGCTCTGTTACTAAAACGACAGACTTCTTTCGCTTTGTTGGCGTTGTTGTTGATTGTCGGTGGTTTGTTGTTGTAACGCTACTTCGCTTGACTATCCGCGCAAATGAGAAAATCCGCGTTGCACACAAATGAAGTTAATGATGATTTGCGACGACACGACTCACCGTGTAAGGAGCAGGAGGAGACTCAAAAGTTGTTGCCACATAAAACGGTGGCCACAAAGCGTACGTGGGCTGCTTGCTGTTTGGCTTCTTATGGAGGGATTTGCAACTTTTTGGTGTCTTTTTCATTCTACCTTTATTCATGTTTGCTCTTTTCCCTTCCCTCTATTCAATGTGAGTTCATTTCAATAAGTTTGACGGACGATGAGTGAGGAAGTGCCTCTGCAACCAATAATAGGAGTTTATCAGCAATGTTTCCAAGATTAGGTCCGCGCAGCAAAATCGCCATTCTCCGACTTCTCCTTCCAGCGTTGGCACCCTAGAGTCGAAGACGCCAAGCACTATTCTGACGTCGTGTCGTGGGCAGCGCTCATAAGTGTGCTCGGGGTGTTCATAAGAGACATCTTTGGGCAAATCATCTTTCTGCTCCATTGTGGCGTGGGCGCAAATTAGTATAGTGTTAAAGAATTTCATTTTGACGTGACGCTCATCCACCAGAATAAATTCCAGTACTCGGCGGCAGAGTTTCCCTCCTACCATACATCCGACAATCAAATTTGCGCTGCTTTATATCGCCGCTATAAATTTCACAAGGACCCACTTTCTTTCGTCCTTGTCCGGTACATCGCATTTTTAGTCCTATGAGGACCTCATGCAGCTGTGGAGCGACATGTTCCCAAATATGGAACCGGCCATTCCAGGTGCATACCCTTAAATCGAAACCCTTAAAACATTAGCGGGGTCGTCATCAAAATGGAATTCTCTCCTAGGCTCGTTGAAGGTTTTCATTGGATTTTGGTTTTAATGCGGTGGATCCCAAATCCTACACACAAACGCATGGGATTCGCCTTCTCACCTTAGATCGCCCCTAAACGGGTGTTTGTAAGCTACCCAGGGGATACACCAAGATCAGAAGTCGTGAGTTGCTAGAACAATAAGCAGAAGAATCGTTTCTGGCCTCTTTCGGGTGAATGACAGTCAAAAACTTTCTATCTACAAATGACCTCATCCCCCCATTTACAAAATTGTGAGTCCCCATGAAAAGAAGAAATGAAAAAATTATTAATGTAATTTCTTGCACTGGTTTCTACTGACATAAAATCTTTCAAATATTTCTTAAATTTAAATTATTTTTTAAATATTTTCTTTTTTGTTGCCCTTCCAAGCGATCTCCTTCTGTCGACTTGCCCTTACTTACGCTTTTCGACACAAAGAATCCTATTTATATGAACATACATAAACATATATTTAACCGTTACGACGTTGCCACCTACCTGGATGGTGAATATGGTGAGTAGTGCGGTGTGTGCGCTGAGTGGGAGTTACGCAATGGGAACCCGGGCATGACCAGTGGCTGCGAGCCGCTCATCTGGCAATGCGGCCCGCCAGGTCCATTCATGCCGGGCCCAACACCACCACCGCCAGGTACGCCACCGCCGCCGCCTCGATCGATGCCACCGTGGCCCAGCGTATTATTGCCTGTTGACATACTTTGCGCCATCTGTTGTGGATGCCCGACCGGCATTGGACCCAATCTGGAGTGCAGAAGGTGGAAAGAAAGAGAAAAACAATTGTGAAAAACAAATTTAATAAATATTTATTTACGAGTATAAAGTCAGTTGGTCCACTCATTACAATAACAATGTTTGTTGTGTATATATTTATATATTTGTTGTTGCTTGTTGGCATATTTACAGTTAAAAAAAATGTCTCCTGCACTCGCCCTGTTGCATAATGTAAACGCACACGCATACATCCATACATACATACATACACACATACACACAAACAAATGTAGGCTCATGCATAAATGCAGTAATCAACAGCCACAACAGCCGGGCAAGGGTAGGTAATCGGAGAGTTTGGGCCGTAGAGGGGGAAAATGGAAAATTACAAGCGACAGCCGTTGCTTTGGGCGCACGGAAATGCTCCGTTGTTTTATTGACACAAAATACATTTATGTAATATGTTACGTATGCTTTTTTCCTGCATACAACATGCAACATGCAACATTCGATTTATACATATTTATATAACATTCATATATAAGTGTGTGTGTCTGTGTCGCGTAAAAATGGCCATTATGGCGCGAGTTAAGTAAAGCGGAAATTTTAAATTAAAAAACATAAATCAATAGGGCACACAAGGCTCCACATCGCCTTGCCCCGCCATGATGATGGCGATGAGGCGTCGCGGGTGACGCGGCGAAGTTCGGCATCTGGCCAAACGCCATTTGCATTGCCACCATTGTTGTTTTTATTTACGCTCATTCCGTTGCCATTGTTGCCGCTTGCCTCGCCGCCGCTGGAGTTGCACAGTGCTGCAACTGCATTGTTATCGCACACTGCCACACTTTTGTTTCTTTTATGCGCTCGCCACATTATCGGCTACATTAAACGGATGTGCGCCTACGGCCACTCGGCCACACGATTACAGTTACGGTTCAATGGAATGAACCTTTCTATGCGAACGCATCCCGCTATCCTCTCTGCTTTTTTCACTTTTTTATTTATTTTATTTATTTACAGTTATAAATCGCATTGTTTGCATTGTGCCAGGCGTTGCGCCAAAGCACTTATTTATTGTTTTTGTTGTTATTGCTGTTGTAGTCCCATTGAGCTATTGCACTTTTGGTTGTGGAGTTTCCAAGCATTCGCCACAAAGGACTTTTTAACTGATCTACAACATGAAAAATGAGGATTTTGTGCCCAAGCGTGTTTAGATTTCAGCGCCCGATATTCGGCGCCTGGCGGAGACGCTTGAGGCGGGGACTTATTATATTTCCGCAGCTGCTATTTTTTGGTGCAATTAGTGGAAAGTTTACGAAAAATCCTGGAAAATGTTGGCATTTACGGCAGAGAATGTGCTTAACCGTTAAATGAACCCCAGACTTGGCATTGCTGTTCGTCATCAACAGAAGACTGAAAAGCGTATTTCAATATAGGACATACGCCAACAGTTTAACGAGTAACCACGAGTCACATCACACATTTTTGGGCAATAAGATTAATGTATGTATAGGGTTATATATTTCGTGGTTTCAAAAGTGCAGGGTTGTATTTTAGTATCTGTCAAACTCAACTGTCAAACGAAGCAGGTTTTGTTTCACACAAAAACGATGGCTCACACATACCTAAAGAGGAGATTAAGGTTTAAATAATCCTCCAACTGAATATATTTCTTTCATATATATCGGGTGTAAGTTAAAGTCTGGCCGAAGACTCCACTGCGTCTGCCACTCGACGTTCTCAAATGGTCCAGCTCATGCAACAACTATCTGGTGCGCTCTTTGGTCCGGACATATAATTAGACCTTACTTTGTTGAAAACGTCAACAACGACAACAACAGTTGAACACCATTTGGACAATATGTGACTTGAAGAAGACGTTGCCACATGCCACGCAACAGAAGCGAATTTGGTTTTATTGCGAGAGAAATTTTACGTTCGCGCAATCTCTAGACCATATTGACCCGAGCTCAGTTGTTTAACACAGGAATTAGCCATAAGTGAAACCGTTCCGCAATTCATTATTTTAGTTTATTATTCACTTTGTGCTATTTGTGAAAATCTGCAAAATTTTCGACTTCTCGACTTCGATGCTCTTATTGTTAGAGTTCCTTGTTTTCATCTCAATTTTTATTTAAAAAATTCATGCGGCTTTTATCTGAATTCAACCATTTTTTAAATCCTTTGCACTGCCTAAAATTGTTTTCCTTATGACGGCCTTCATATTCCGGGCAATACAAATTTGTGACGGTCGGTCGATTCGAAACCAAGAAAGTTTTACTGCTAAAACTTATTAAACTCAAATTAGAATTTTTACCTTTAACAATTTTTTTTTTTTTTTTTTTTGGTTTCAAATATTCCCTCTTTAATTCGCGCACAAAACTCGTAAATTAAATCCACTCTCTTTTCGAACTCGGCCACCACATCAAAGTTTGAACTTTCCCATATGTGAGAATCCACAAAACCTCTGACATTTTACTGCCCACCACCACCGAGGTCATCACCACGAGTAGAACGACGGAAGCTCTGCATACACCTTGCCTTTATGTCAGGTCTTTAATAAACCACGGCTGGCCAGTGCCGTGCAAGTGGCAGACACAACTTCAGCCGACAGGCCAGCCACACTCCTACCTTCCTGCCCTCCATTCGGGCTTTTTATTCAGCACATTTCAGCTAAGAGACTCACTTAAACGTTATACCCAACGTCAACAGAAACTTAGACTGGCCTAGGCAGAGTAAAATAACGAAATGGCCATGTGGCATGTGGCATGTGGCAAGTGACCACATCAAAACGCTGGCATGGACTCGCTTTATGGTCGAACAACTTAATTTAAATTGCTTAAATCTATTTTTGTTGCTAATAAATCACCAGCACTCCCACCCACACCCGCACGCAGACATACACAGACCGACCGACCGTATTCATATATATACATATTTTAGTATGTCCCCCGGTCAGTAGCTCCGCAGAGAGCCAGCATTAGCCACCCACTAAGCTAACCAGTCTTGGCTGGCCGCACAACTTCTCACCGACAGAGAGGAAATATGCAGGCTCCGAACGCACACAGCGAGGAATGGAGGGCGCATATGCAAATGTGTCCACTTGGACGGTCAACTTCACTTTTTGCATGTTTAAGTTATGCACATAACACAAACATATCTACACATTTACACATGTGTCGGAGTGTGTGATTGCACAACTATTTGCATTTGACCGGCCTAAGCATTTTACATATGGATGAGTATGAGAGTAAACCCGCACGTAAAGGTCGATGGGTCGGCCGGTGGACGCAGACATTAATAAATTAGAGCCTATGAATCAGTAAAAGTGGCAGCGCAGCAGCTGGGCAAACCGAACGCAGACGATTGGGAGTGGAACGACTTAAAATTACTCGCTGGCCAGTGGCAGTTTGTTTGATGGGATTTAATAATTTTCATTGCATGCTTTTAGGAGCTCAAAAGGGGGATGTCACCAGTGTGAACAGTCGGTCGTGTCGGCTCAAATTCTCACTTCTTGGCGTTGATTGAACGAAGGAAAATTTGAAGAGGAGACAATGGACGAAGAGCGCAAAACAAAGCGAAAGAATTCCTTCCAATTTACACTATCTCCAGCATAAAATGATTCACAAGGAAAAACTATCGAGCGGCGCGGGTTAAATAAATCTGAATTTGACCTGCGCCGCCCACAAATCATCGACCGTCAACATGGAATTCAATTAAGAATTCTCTCACGTCACAAATCGCATAACAATGACAATTCGCAACAACTACAACATCAGTAAACATATGCATGACCTGGTGATATTAGGCAAAATAACGGCATTTACATATTTGTTGTCAGCTGGTTGTTAATGTAAGCAAAAGCGCCGCTGCAGGCATCGCCAACGGTCAACGTGACATTTGACCCGAACAGAGTTGCGCCACAAGCATCCATTCACACACACTAGTGCGTATTTGCATGGAAGGGTTCACGCTTGACGTTGCACGTGTGCAAAAGCCACAAAAGCCCCCAAATTCATCCTCCAGCTATTACCCATAACTCATGGCCCATCAAGCCTCACGCTGACCCTCCGACGCCCTTTCGTCGCTACAACAATGCAACACTGCACAATCCTCGCAACAAAATCATTTCGACAGCAACGCGATTTATATTAGTAAATGTTTTGGAAGCAAATGAACCACCGTCTCTGCTGCCTGAGTTCGTGGATAAGTGCAACAACGAGTCAAACTGAACCGTTATGCGGCCAAAGTTCAATGAAAATCGCATTGCATTAACTGCGGCGCACAATAGTTGGACAACTATGTTTGTAGTTATTCGGTTGAGGCGGTCACACCGAAGGGCAGGTGCAGCGGCGGTGGCGGCGGTGACGGCGGTCGCCAGGATAATCAATTATTTGCGCACACTTTGCGTTACGGTTTCGTGCGTGACAAAATGCGAACGCGACCGATGCTTGTTGTACTTGTTGTTGTAGTTTCCGTTGTCAGGCTTTAGTGTTTGCGGTTCCACCTGCGTGCGTATGTGGTAGAGCGTATGTGCAGCGACCAGCCGTCAACGTTTATTGATTCCACATTTCAGTAACGGTGATTCCAAAATTCGAAACCGCGAAAATAAATTTGCACAAATTACAGTAAATCCTCTTCGACAGCAGACACATCCACTCCAGCACAGAAGTGAGAGAGCGTTTTTTAAATACCAAGCTTTATCCGAGTGAAAGCTCTGTAGGGCAGTAGAAGCCGAATGAGTTGCGCAACCATGTTTGGTCCCACTTAATACTTACAGAGCACAATGACGGGAAAAATAATATAAATAATTTAAAAATTGCAAGATGCTTAAATTAATTAACAAAAAATGATGAACTAAGTCCTCAAGCAGCTCATGCGTCAAATATTGGCAGAAACTCTGCGCCCTAAATTAGACTTAATTTGTTACCCAAAAACTTAATTTTCTTTAAAACGGTCAATACGAAGTATCTGTGATATACTTTGAGGCGCTATGGTTCTGACATTCACTCATTAAATGCAAATTC